AAATAAATAAATAAATAAAGTATTTAGTTCAGTGTCTACAGACCAGACTCATAGTGATCCTCCTGTTTTCAGCTTCCCAAGAGCTGGGATTACAGGTGTGCACCACCATGCCCAGTCTTATTTGCCATTTCAGTGTGCGCCAGGGTCAGGGCTGGCATGGCACACTGGGGATTGAACCCCAGTCCCTGTGTCTGCCTAAGCAGGTGCTTTAATCTGCTGAGCTATCTGGCTGGCCCACATATGCATTTTTTTAAAGACCACTTTAATATCAAACAAAGTATATATGATGTATGTAGTTCAATGTGATGTACACATTGTTTAAAAAATAACTAATATTGTGGATGTATTCAAAATCTAAGTGAAGACCACTGTTTTAATCACATTTATTTTCAAGTAGGCTTCCAAATCCCTCAGTCCATGCATGTTCTAAAATACCAAAAGGCACAGTCCCATGTTACTGTAAGACTCAGTGTACTGTAATATCTATGGAAATGAGTATAGAGGTTTCACAGAAATGGAAAAACACACATTCTCTTTTATCCATCTATACTATATTATACATACTGTTTTTTTTTCCAGATTTTTTGTTGTTTTATTTTGTTTTCAAACAGGTAACCCAGGCTGGCCACAATCTCACAATGACTCTCCTGGGCTCAGCCTTCCTAGTTCTAGGATGACAGGCATGTGCCAACATGCCCGGGTGTATTCAACTCTATTTATACTAAGGATATTCCCCACAATATTAAAGTAATCATGTTACAGTAGTGATTGAATACCCATTTGTAGCAGCACAATGTAGAAAAGCTAAGCTCTGGAAAAAGCCTAAATATCCACTCACAGCTGAATTGAAGGAAATTTACAGTAGCCTGGGCATAAAATGGCATACTGGAATTCCTAGTTCTTTAAGAACCCGGAACACCAAATGTCATGCATTCATACTTAGCTTGGGTAAATTAATTATTGATGAGACTGCATCAAAATAAAAAACAAAGGGGCCTAGGATATAGCTCAGCAGCATAAGCACCTGCCTGGAAAGCACAAGGTTCTGAGTTTGATCCCTGGTACTGCAAAAAAAAAAAAAAAAAAAAGAAAGAAAGAAAGCACTTAGATGTATCTCATTGCTAAAACCCAGGGTTGAATTTCCAGCACTGAAAAACCTCTACTGTGTACACATAATGGAACAGTAACATGTGCAAAAGAATGAAGTGATGTCATTTGCTAAAACATGGATGGGTCTAGAGTCCATAATGTTTGTTTAAATAAGTCAGAGAGAAGCTGCAGTATCACAAATTTGTATTTTGCATGAGAATCCCACAACATGAATTAAGGAGTAAATAGAGCAGAGATGGTGGAAAAGAGAGAAGCAGACGTTTTGGAGTGAGTGAAGCAGCCCAGGGAGGGGGAGGGATAAAGTCATGCAGGTATCAAATATCATCAACACATGGAACATGTTTCATCAAGATGTATTCTAAAACCTCAATAATTTCCTCACTGAGGTTAAGCTTAACAGCCTAGGTTGTATGGTAATAACAGTAAGCTTGTCTTCTGGATGGTTAACAACCTAAGTTTGCAGACCAAAATTAGAGAAAAAGGAGGGCCACAAGGAAAGCCAACATTTTGGCCCTAG